GATTGACTACATCTGCTTCAAGATGCAATGGAAAAGCTCAATATCTTCAGCCAAAACAAGGCCAGGAGCTGATTGTGGAAGAGACCATCAACTGCTCATGTGCAAGTTCAACATGAAGTTGAAGCCAATTAAAACAAGTCCATGAGAGCCAATATATGATCTTGAATATATCCCTCCAGAATTTAGAGACTATTTAAAGAACAAATTTGATGCATTGAACACTGACAGAAAACCAGAGGAATCGCAGATGACATCAAGAACATCATCCACGAAGAAAGCGAGAGGTCATTAAAAAGATGAGAAAAGAAGAAAAGATATCAGAATATCAGATATCAGGATGTCAGAAGAGACTCTGAAACTTGCCCTTGAAAAGAGAGTAGCTAAAGCAAATGGAAGAAATGACAAGATAAAAGACCTAAACAGAAGATCTCCAAAAGCAGTTCAAGTAGACAAAACCAATTACTGTAATGAAATGTGTAAAGACCTGGAGTTAGAAAACCAAAAGGGAAGAACACACTTGACATTTCTCAAGCTAAAAGGACTGAGGAAAAAACTTAAGCCTCGGATTGCAATATTGAAAAATTGTATGGGCAAAATATTGAATGATGCAGGAAGCATCAAAAGAAGATGGAAGGAATACACAGTTACTGTACCAAAAAGAACTGGTCAATGTTCATCCATTTCAGAAGGTGGCATATGATCAAGAACCAATGGAATCGAAGGAAGAAGTCAAACCTGCACTGAAGGGATTGGCAAAGAACAAGGCTCCAGGAATTGACAGAATACCCACTGAGATGTTTCAACAAACAGATGCCCTGCTGGAGGCACTTACTTGGTTATGCCAAGAGATTTGGAAGACAGCTACCTGACCAACTGACTGGAAGAAATCCATATTTGTACCATTCCAAAGAAAGGTGATCTCACAGAATGTGGAAATTATCAAACAATATCATTAATATCACATGCAAGTAAAATCTTACTGAAAATAATTTAGAAATGGTTGCAGCAGTATATCGATAGAGAACTTCTAGAGGTGCAAGCCAGATTCAGAAGAGGACATGGAACAAGGGATATCATTGCTGATGTCAGATGGATCTTGGCTCAAAGCAAAGAATACCAAAAGGATGTTTACTTGTGTTTTATTGACTATGCAAAACTATTTAATTGTGTGGATCATAACAAATTGTGGACAACATTGAGAAGATTGGGAATTCCAGAACATTTAATTATACTCATGCACAAGGAACTTGTACATAGACCAGGAGGCTGTCATTTGAGCAGAACAAGGGGACACTCTATGGTTTAAAATAAAAATGGAGTGTGTCAGCGTTTTATCCTTTCACCATATTTATTCAATCTATATGCTCAGCAAATAATTCAAGAAGCTAGGCTATATAAAGAAGAACATGGCATCAAGATTGGAGGAAGAATCATTAATAATCTGTGATATGCTGATGACACAACTTTGCTTGCTGAAAGTGAGGATGACTTGAAGAACTTTCTGTTGAAGATTGAAGAACACAGTCTGCAGTATGGATTACATCTCAATATAAAGAAAACAAAAATCCTCACAACTGGACCTATAAGTGGCATCACGATAAATGGAGAAGATTGAAGTTGTCAAAAGACTTGATGTTGCTTGGTTCTACAATCATGGAAGCAGCAGTCAGGACATCAGACTATGTATAGCACTGGGCAAGTCAGCTGCAAAAGACCTCTTTCAAGTGCTAAGGAGCGAAGATCCCTCCTTGAGGACTAAGGTGCACCTAACACAAGCCATGATATTTTCAATAGCCTCATATGCATGTGAGAGCTGGAAAATGAATAAGGAAGACCGAAGAAGAGTTGATGCTTTTGAGTTGTGGTGCTGGCGAAGAATGCTGAAAGTACCATGGACTGCTAAAATAACTAACAAATCTGTCCTGGAGGAAATGCAGCAGAAATGCTCCTTGGAAGCTAGAATGGCCAGACTTCATCTCACCTACTTTGGTCATGTTATCAGAAGGGACCATTCCCTGGAGAAGGATGTCATGCTTGGTATGGAGGAGGGTCAACAATGAGGGGAAGGCCCTCAAAGAGATGGACTGACACAGTGGCTGTGGCGATGGGCTCAAGTATAGCAGGGATCGCATAGCTGGCACGGGACCCGTTGGTATTTCGTTCTGCTGTGCATAAGGTCACTATGAGTCAGAGATGACTCAACAGCACTTAACAACAATGACAAATCTGCTGCAAAAGACCTCTTTTTTTTTAATTTAATTTTAATTTCTATTTATTTATTTATGCAGTGTTCCTTCTCCTCCCCTCCTCTTTAAAGTGTTTGAGAGCAAAGTTGTCACTTTGAAGACTAAGGTGTGCCTGACCCAAGCCATGGTATTCTTAATAGCTTTATACACATGTGAGAGGTGGACAATGAATAAGAAAGACTCTAGAAGCAATATTGCATTTGAATTGCAGTGTTGGTGAAGAATTTTTAATATACAATGAACTGTCAGAAGAATGAACAAACCTGTCTTGTAGGAAGTATAGTTGGAATGCTCCCTAAAAGCAAGAATGACCATACTTTGTCTCTCACATTTTGGTCATGTTGACAGAAGGGCCCAGTCGCTTAAGAAGGATCTCATGCTTGGTAAAGTAGAAGGTCAGCCAAAAAGGATAAGATGCTCAATGAGATGGATTGACACAGTGGCTGCAATAATGGGCTCAAGCATGGCAATGATTGTGAGGATGTATGGAACAGGGCAGTGTTCATTTTGTTGTCCATGGGGTTGCTATGAGTTGAGACCAAATCAATAGCACCTGACAACAACAATAACATATTTTTTGTAACCAGGCTTTTTCACAGAACATTATATTTTGAGGAGTTCTCCATATCATTAGATGTACTTCTTGTACATGATTGTAATGGCTTCATAGTATTTCATAATATGGATTCTGTTCAATATTTTTGAACATAACTGTTTACATACATCTCTATCAGCTTAGGATGAATCCTTGGAAAAGGAAACATACAGATCAAATGAGATAACCATTTTAAATTATATTGTCACAAAGTTTTCTCCCCAAATGTTATCAATTTATTTTCTCACTAGGAATAGAGGGACAGGAGTGTCTATTTCCTGAAAATCTTTATCAGAGGTAGTATTTTTTTAAAAAAAGAAAAAATCCAACTCGATAGGGGGAAAGTTATCTCCATCATATTTCTTCACTTTTTATCTTTTCTTAATTACAAACCTATTGTAATGTTAAATATGTTTTTACATTTTCATTATTTTAGGAGGGGCACATGAATTTCCTGTGTGCCTCTGTTGCAAAGACTATAGGTTGCCCCATATTATCTATCCTCCCCTCTTTCTCAGTGACAGAAGAGGTAGCTTTTAGCTGATCACCTACCAAACCAAAACCAAACTCACCGCCATCAAGTCAATTCCAACTCATAGTGACTCCCATTGGGTTTCTGAGGCAGTTATGGAAGTAGATTGCCCTATCTTCCTTCCACTGAGCAGCTGGTAGGTTTGAACTGCCAACTTTCTGGGTAGCAATCAAATGCCTTAGGCACTGTGCCACCAGAACTCCTGCTGAGCACATGTTGTTCTTGTTGTTATGTGCCGTTGAGTTGGACCGGACTCATAGAGACCCCTCCTTGGGTTTCTGAGGCAGTATCACTACGGAAGTAGATTGCCTTATCTTCCTTCTGAGGAGTGGCTGGTGGGTTTGAACCGCCAGCCTTCTGGTTAGCAGTCAAGTGCCTTAGGCATTACGTTACCAGAGCTCCCGCTGAGCACATGGCCCGTGACATAAAAACATTTCCCATTCTCCTTTGCAGCTAACTGTGGCTGTGTGTCAACTCCAGGCAGACAGAATATAAGTAAAGGTGATGTATACTATTTCTGAGAAATATCCTTCAAGGGAGAGGACATGCCCTCCTTCTCTTCTTTTTTATTTTCTTGCTAGTTAGAATGCAGACATTATGATTTGAGCTACAGCAGCCATTTTGGATCATAAGGATAAGGGTCACACCATAAAGGTAAAGCAGTATGCTTGAAGGAACCTGAGTTCCCATGAATTTTGCAAGGGGATCACACTGGCCCTACAGGGCTGATCTCCAGATTGTTATGTGAGAGATTTACACTTGGTGTCTTTAAGCAATGATTAGTTTGTATTTTTTCTGGAAACAGCTGAACTTAATTCTAATTAACACAAGATTCTTTGCCTATTCTTTTTCTTACTGTTTTTAAGTACCCCTTCTATTTTAAGGATAGTTACACTTTATCTGGCATATGTTACACCTTTTTTTTTCCAGTTTGTCATCTGTCACTTAATTTTGTTTATAGAATTAGGAAATGCAAAACTGTAGCTATTCCTAAATTTGTTTACTACATAAATTCCATTCTATATTCACAAAAATCAGATAACAGTATTAGCTTAGAAATCAAGATTCCAAATATTTTGTGTTAACTATCTTAAGGCGGGAGCTCTGGTGGCATAGTGTCTAAGGCATTTGACTGCTAACCAGAAGGCTGGCGGTTCAAACCCACCAGCCACTCCTGGAAGGAAGGTTGGGCAATCTACTTCCGTAGTGATACTGCCTGGGAAACCCAAAGAGGGGTTGCTGTGAGTCAGATCTGACTCCACGGCAGTGAGTTTATCTTAAGGCAGCATTGAGACATAAATTACTCTCTATAGATAAACAATTAAACGGTTATATTGTAGGCTAAAGTCATTTAAATGATGAGACTTTTGAACACTTGATAAATAAATTCTTGGCTAAAGCAGAGATTTTCCATTTGAAATCTGTGGAGCTCTGGGCTTGAGGCATGGCTTCAGAGGCGTCCACAGAGACCCTGGGGAAGTTGAGAGGGCCAGGCTTCTCCCTACCACCCCCAATCCATACTCTTAAGGCAGTCATTCTGTGTTACACATTGGAGTTCCACAAAAGGGTCCCTGCATTAGTGATTTTCCACACCACAACCAAGAAATATGGAGTCACAATTTCCTACCAGATCATAAGCAGCTAGCATCTTTTTCTGCACATCTGGAATCACCCCCAGAGGCTCCAAATATGGAAAATTGTCTTTCATCACAAGAGAGACTGAGGGAGTATTGTCACTGGTGATGAGTCGAGACGACAGAGTCAACAGGCACTGCTTCAGACTGGCAATTGGAGGGAGTCCACACAGTTCCTTAACGGACACTATTGCATTCTGTGGGGAAGAAAACATGGAATAACAATTCTGGCTGCATGACACATCACCTCCAGGATTTCACAAATGTATAATCATATGTAAATGTAAATTTTATAGATAGATAGATATAGATATGTCTCAAACCCACCAGCCACTCCTCGGAAAGAAGTTTGGGCAATCTATTTCTGTAGTGATACTACCTCAGAAACCCAAGGAGGCGTCGCTAACGAGTTAATGAGGTGGGTCCAACTCGACAGCAATGAGTGAGTGCGTGTATATATATATATATATATACACACACACACACATATATGTATATTTGTATAAACTCACTGCCGTTGATATGTGTGTGTGTGTGTGTGTATGTATGTGTATATATATATATATATATATATATATATAATTTAGAGCATACTAGATTATAACCAATCAAAAATATTGTGATATGCACAGATAACACAGAGACCAAATTCAATATTATAGTTCATCTTTCTCAATTTTTGACAACTGCCATAAATATACTACAAAGCAAAGCAGATTGTAACCCAAGGCTACACAGTGCTTTTCGAAACATAATACTGGCATTACAAGTTAGCACTGGCTGGCTGTGAATACTTTATTTGATTTGGATCACTATGATCATGAAAATGTAATGTCAGTGATTGTGCACTAGAATATAGCTCTTTAGGAATTTTCCCCTCAAGGTAGTAGGCTGTTATTACCCACCACCCTCCATGTGAGTATTATCAATGGTATTTCTTTGTCATCTCATTAGAAATGCACCTGACAGACACACAGACATATTGACAGACATACACCCTGAAAATGTATTTCATACAGAGTTACCTTTGTCCATGTTACAGCCTTTAAATAATAATAATAATAACTCACTAAATCAGAATTAGTACTATTTTACATTTCATTAATGGTGAACAATTCCTAACCTATTACATGTTTCATGAATTTAGTGATAGTGGTGCTGTTCATTTTTCTACTATTAGGTCCTAAATCATCCTTAACCCAAAGACTTTATGTTGAAATTACGTTAAATTAACTTCTCTACCTGAAAAAAAAAAACAACTATATCCATAACCAACTTATTAATGTGTATTTAAATACAAAATATAAATCAAATAGAAGCTATAGCTCAAAAATTATATAACCCACTGCCATAGAATGGATTCTGACTCGTAGTGGCCCTATAGTACAGAGTAAAACTGTGCCATAATGTTTCCACAGCTGTAAATCTTTATGGACGCAAACTGCCTCATCCTCCTCCCAAGAAACAGCTGGTGGGTTCGAACTGCTAACTTTTGGTTAGCAGCCAAATGCTTTAACCACTACACTCCAGAGCTCCTTCCAAGAATTACATAGAAATACAAAAAGTCTATTTCTTACATATAAAGTTAATTGTGTAAATGATTTCTAACCAACCTCATGTATATGTATTTACAATAGTTCTATAATTCTATCAGGAAAAAGTCAAGTAAAAGATGTCAATATTTGGAGTCTGTGTTTAAAACAGTGGCCAAGGCACCCCACCTCAAGTTAGATAATTATAATCTAAGTATTTCTATGTGATTCACGTACAACTCTTTTCCATTATTTTAGCTATTTAAAATTGAAATTAACTGTATCCCAGAATTTCTCTGTAATATAAAAAGGTTTTCACCAAGTTATGGGTTTGAATTTCTGTATCATGTGACTAAAAATTGTGAATGATCATGAGTTTTGGTATTAAATCCAGGCAGCCCTGGATTTAAAGCCCAACTTTGCTATTTATTGTTGGTGTAGTGCCTAAGAGCATTTGACTGCTAACCAGAAGGCTGGCGGTTCAAACCTACCAGCCACTGCTCAGAAGGAAGACTGGGCAATCCACTTCCATAGAGATACAGCCTTGGAAACCCAAGGAGGGTTGCTATGAGTCAAATCAACTCAATGGCAGTGAGTCTGATTTATTGCTATTTATTAACTATAAGATCTGAAAAGTTACTTAATCTCTTCAAACTTGTTTTCCACCTTGAAAGTAGGAATTTGGGGGGTGAGGGTCAGTATATTAATTAAAGGAATAAATAAATTAAATTGAATGATAGTGTCCTGTTTTCCTCTCACACATTGCTACTGCTTCTACCACTCAGCACATCTTGCATATTGCAGGTATTTAGTAAATATTTGTTGCTTGACTGCTTCTCAATAACATTAGCCCAGGATAAGTAAATTAAATATAAAAAATTTTCAACCATTTCTTGATTGTAACAATTGATGAATGGAAGGAAACTGAATTTCTATATTTCAGAATTGGACAATTTATGTAATTTCTCGTTTAATTCTTATAATAATTTTCTCCTGTGTTATTATTTTTCTTACCTTATTTGAAGAAAACTGGTATCAGTAACCTGAAATAATTTGCTCAAGATCACATAGGGTTAGGTTTTGATTTAGAACACAATTTTTTTTTCCATTAAACCACATTTCTAAGGGAAAAGTAGTTTCACCAAGTTCAAATACTGTTTTGTTTAATTTTGTGCTGTTTTTGTGGAGAGTACTTTATTATTATCATTATTATGTATTTAAGTTACTTAATTTAATAGGCATTGTATGTTTTAGTATGGCTTTAAATTCTCTTCCATGTTCCTATCAGTAAATACTTTATATACTATACTTGTAAGTATATACTATACTTGTGTTTGTAAAGATAATAGTTTACATTTTATATACATATAATATTCTATATTCTATTTTTTTCATATTTTTTATATGCACATTCCTATGCATCAATTTGACTATATACTAGGGATTATTTAATAGATTATAGTATTTTGATTTTGTTATGTTGATGTTCCATTAATGAGCTTAATTCAGGAGAAATTTACTATAACATCTCAGTTAAAAACTTAAAAATATGTTTTACTTATCACAGGCAATATTGAACTTAGTTTAGTGGTATATGAATTTACACATTCTGATCATTTGGGGAAGGATCATATCACTAATAAAACACAATGCTCACTAGAAAGGACAAAGTTAAAAAAGAAATAGGGGTAGAGTGGGTAAGTGTAAGATTTTTCCTACCTGCATGTTTTCTCTCATATCTATGGCTTCTCGTAAGGGATGAACTGCTATTTTAAAGATGTCATCTATGGTTTTAAGACCAACATTCCTGAGCATGGTATATTCCCGAACTTTCTTCCCCATTCTCACAGAAAGGCTGCGCTTCTGTGCCTTCCCTCCTCCACTTCGATTAGTTATTGCTATGTGTACAAAAAGAGTTACGTGCTCCATGATGTCACTCACAAAAGAACGCAGAGGAACATGTCGATATCCAGGCTGCAGACATTCAAACGGTATCGTATATTGTCCTATAAACTCATCCCCAATATAGTCATCGTCTAGAACAACAAAACGGATCATGGCCAACTCGGGTAAGTTAATTTGAAACTCAAAAGTTTCATCAAAAATAGGATTATCACTGTTCTGCTGTACAGTTTTAGTTCTTTGTTCTGAGCAGTCTGCAGGAATTCCATGAATCTCTATACAGACATAGGGATCTATGACATCCCCTTTGGCACAAGCTCCCTTGGGCTTCGGGAAATTCTGACCACTGATGATCTTGATATGAAGAGCTAGAGGGGAAACCCCAGGTACAATGCCCTTTGTATTTGCACTGAAGTAGGAAACTTCATCTCTCATGATAGAAGGCCTTAGAACATAACCACATCCTCCATTTTGAAGAAACCAGCCTGTGTGAAGGTCCATCATTGGACCTGGAGTCTGAAAATTCATTCCCACAATCTGACAGCCACAATTCCAAAAGTCCTGTGGATTCAAGTTACTGGAATCAATTCTCATGGCACTTGGATATATTCTTGACAAGAACTTCTTATTATAATTTACAAAATCCTCTGGGTATTCATTTGCAATCCGGCTGGCCTCTGTTTCACTAAAGGAGCAAATTTCCCAATAGTTTTGGCTTTTCATAGACAGTTCAAAATCCCTGTACTGAACAGATTTACAAATAGACACCAAATCAGAGAGCTCCCTGCAGAGCCATATTTGTTTCTGCTCACCATCGTGGTCCACTGACATCCTTCGAGACATTTCAGCTTCCTCATCTTCATCTGTTACTTCCCCCTCTAAAATATCTGAACCAGAAGGCAGTTTCTTTCCTTTCACAATGATCTTTCTTTTTAATTTTTCTGGTGAAGGGAGGTAGGAATCAGAAGGCAAAGGTGCTTCTGTGTAGAGTTTATTGCCAAAGATCTTTTTCATTTGTTGAACCATTACCTTCTGCTGCAGTAAGGAACAGTGATTCCGCAAGCAGAGAATGAGTGGGTATTCAGAAGCAACAAAGGCAAATTTATTTATCACCTCTATGACACCTTGAAAGGAAATATGTGTTGCCATGTTATTTCTATTACAGAGGATCGGTTCATTGTCTGGACCATCACTTACATCTAGTTCAATGCTTCGACAGCCCATTTTCAAAGCTCTGACATACCCATTAATATCTGCTGGTCCCCTGAACTGGTCTTCAATTAGATAGGTATTGTGAGAGGCATTGATATAGTAGTGAGATAATGGCTGAGTCATATCCTGGGCAACTTTTTTTTGCTCAGGATCAAAAATGTCACATTCTGGTGACAACAAATACTGAGTGAAACCATCAATGGCAAGAAATCCTTTTTGACGCCCTTCTTCAGAAAGTTCATATCTACGAATAATGTCTAAGCACATATCTTCAGTGATGTGGGTGACTCCTTGCTCAGCTTCCAAAAAGAGCATGAGATCATTGGCATCCAAATATTCTTTGTTTTTAGATATCTGTACAAGTAAGAAATACACTTCCGGCCTGGTGCAAAGTTCACAGAATGCTTCACAAAATTCCTCTTCTGTCACTCGGGTAGTTAGTTTCTCCTTGCTCTTCTGGATTTCTTTAAACTTTAACCTGATCTTGGATTCCTTCAGGGTAGGGTTGAGTTGTTTTATTAACTCTACAGAGGTGTCTTCCAGCATAATCCCATTGCCATCAATATCTGCTGCCTCAAACACTGTTTTCAACCACATGAGCCTTGGTGTGTTCTGGTTGTCCTCCATAAAATCAAGAGGCTGCTTACTTCGAGAAACCAGGTAGCGTAATCCTGACACCCAGATGTTTGCTACATCAGCTGAATTGGCAACTAAGTCCAGAGACTCGTAGTTTTCCCCGTGAAGTATGGAAAAGGCACAGTCCTCACAAATCTGATCAGCAAGGCCGTTGTTTCTGAACGTTTCGGTGTTCCTTCCCAGTCTGATCTCTTTTATGGCAGCAATATCAAGCTTAGCTTTCTCAAGGTCTTTCTTGGAAGGTTCCCAGCGAAGAGCTTGGAGGTCTGTGTCTAGAGTGAAAAATCGGTTGTAAATGCGAGAATTTGGCCGGACTTTCTTCAGCTCGCAGCCAGCTTGCATGAAACTGATGCAGTCACTTGCACTGCTGATCTTCTTTTCCGATGGCATGCTGCTGAAAGACACAGTTTTCTTTCTTCCACCACATTTTTGGTTTGCAGGATCCTGTAAAATAATTTGAAAATGGTGAATCAATTTTCTTTAGAGAATGGACACATTCAGTAACACTCCACAAACTCCTCAGACTCCTTTCTAGCCTGATCATTTGGACAGAGGCTGGCCTAACATTTATCTTTGTCTAAGAAAAGGGAAATTGCCAAGAAAATTGATATGATAAAGTTTAGGCAAAACTGATTTCTCAAATATCTGCATGCCCTTTAAAATAAAAGAATCATGGTGTTCACTACAGATCACGGTTATTGGTTCATAAATCAGATTTCTGAAGAATGTCTGCCTACTGATGCTTAACCACTAGCTAGAGTACCTATAGGTATGCAACAGAAATAAAGCTGGATTTCTTTGAAAATTTTCTTCATATATACTTTTCAACTGTTTAAAGAGATCTCATTTAAAACATGTTTAAATAAATGGCTTTAACTCAACATACTTTACATCCTGAGTGTTTACAGAACAGCTTAACTAAAAATTACCTTTCCTTTTAGACTATTTTGAAGAGTAACTATAAGAGTCTTGAAAGTCAGGCTGAGAACTAAAAATGGCCATTTGAGTCTCATTTGATGGAAGTTTCCCACAAGGTTCTCCTAAATGGACCTCATGGGAATCCACACCTGCATTTCGGCATAATGCTACTAGCAGACAAAGCCTAGAACTAAACAGAAATATGGATGTTCCCACTTATTTTCAAGGTTCTTCTAATTTAATTTAAATTTCAAAGCCTTTTTCCACACAATTTCACAGGGAGCATTATGACAAACGAACTGCTACCCATGTAATAAATACTTCGCTGAATCTATGTAAAGAATATAGGAAATCCCAGCAAATTTTAACAAAAATTACATGAAGCTAAACTTAAAATAAAAGAGTTCGATGTTAATGACAGAGTAGTGTCTGGTACACAGCATGTGGTATATAAGTGTTTGTTGCTCTGTTTAAATAAAGTACTATCTTTAAGTAACCCCTCAGGTTTTCTCTACTTTTATTAGCACTTTGTTGTTGTTGTTGGCTGCCATCAAGTCAACTCTAACTGATAGCGACCCCATGTCCAACAGAACAAAACATTGTCCAGTTCTGTGCCAGCTTCAGAATCCTTGCTATATCTGAGCCCATCTTTGCAGCCACTGTATCAATCCATCTCATTGAGGGCCTCCCCTTTTTTCATTGACCCTCCACTTTACCAAGCATTATAGCCTTCTCCAGGGAATGGTCCCTTCTGACAACATGACCAAAGATCAGCGCCCAACCCTGGAATAATTCCTAGACTCTCCAAGGGTTCTTTTCCTACCTAACTTGCTCTGGTTCACACCTTTCCAGTACACCTTGAAAATACCTGCTTGACCAATTTCTGGAAGGTCTTTGGCTCTTAGTCATTGTTATGCATTGAATTATGTCACCCCAAAATACGCGCTGTAAATTCTGATTTCTATGCCTGTGGTTATAACCCATTTGGGAATGGGTTGTCTTTGTTATGTTAATGAGGTGGGATTAGTATGCAGTGTATCTTGAGTCAATCTCTTTTGAGATAGAGTTTAAACAAGCAAGCAGAGAGAAAGATGAGGTTGGATAGAGGCCAAACCATAAGGAAATCTCCAAGGAACCAAGAGGCAAAAGCTGAAGAGACAAGCAAGGACTTTGCTCCAGGGCCAACAAAGAAAAAAAGCCTTCTTCTAAAGCTGGTGCTCTGATTCGGACTTCTGGCCTCCTAACCTGTGAAAAACCAAATTTTTCTTAGTTAAAGCCACCCCCTTATGGTATTTCTGACATAGCAACAATAGATAATTAAGACAGTCACACAGGGTCCCAGTCTCCTAGCCCAGTTTACAGAACATCCAACTTCATCTGTCCAGATTAGTGTATCTGAAATAGGTTAATTATTTATTTCTTATGTTTGTCCTTCTTGAGTGAATCAAGGCCTTCTCACCTATCACCTTTCCTAAAATTTAGGCCCAGTCCTCTGAATACTCACAGTTATAAGACAGTGGTTTCCTTTTAGTCCTGGACCATCCACTGTGTCTATCATCTCATTTATATGTTCTTTTACATTGAACATCTGAATGATGCTACTGGAAACTGGATATATCTTTATACTTTCTTCTGTTCAGACTATATATATATATATATATATATATATATACATATATATATACCTATCCAGAAGACCCACCAGCCACTCCTCAGAAGGAAGGTTGGGCAATCTACTTTCGTAGTGATAACGCATCAGAAACCCAAAGAGGGGTTGCTATGAGTCAGGTCCAACTCAAGGGCACATAACAACACAACAACCATGTATATACATAGGAGCTCTGGTGGCATAGTGCCTAAGGCACTTGACTGCTAACCAGAAGGCTGGTGGTTCAAACCCATCAGCCACTCTTTGGAAGGAAGGTTGGGCAATCTACTTCCACAGTGATGTTGTTGTTGTTGTTATGTGCCGTCGAGTCAGCCCTGACTCATAGCGACCCCTCCTTGGGTTTCTGAGGCAGTATCTCTATGGAAGTAGATTGCTCCATCTTTCTTCCGAGGAGTGGCTGGTGGGTTTGAACCGCCAGCCTTCTGGTTAGCAGTCAAGTGCCTTAGGCACTACGCCACCAGAGCTCCTATATACATATATACACACACATAAATATATAGCTGTTGAGTTGGTTCTGACTCATGGAGACCCCATGTGGTATAGAGTAGAACTGCAATTCTTGGCTGTAATCTTTATGGAAGATCACCAGGTCTTTCTTCTGTGGGGCCACTGGGTGAGTTTGAACTGTTAAATTTACAGTTAGTAGTTGAGTACAAAAAATTTACTCCACCCAGGGACCTCTTCAGACCATAAACTCAAGTTAATAATGTTCCCAATTGCATTATTGTGGTGTCATAAATTACCTGCTATGACTTTTCTAGCCATAAGTCTTTGTAAACTCTGTGGTGGAATTTGCTGTGAGCAACTGAGGAGCTCCAGATTGTAAATGTTATACACTTGGGGTCTTTCTGTTGGGTGTGGCACAAGGCAATGTTCTGGAAGACTCACTCTTGCTCTCTGGTGTTTAGAATTCTGATGTTATGATTGGCTAGTTTGGCCACTCTGCCAGGCTCAAAAGGAGGCCTCCTAGAGGCAGAAGTCTCTCTCTCTGACTGCTGGCTGAGGAAGGATGCATTCCTGCAAGACACACGCTGCTGGGAAAGAGACGCAAGAGACACACATGGCTGAGAGAGGCACCGAGGGACATGCACTACTAGGAGAGAGACTGTGAGAGACTGTTTGCTGAGAGACAGTGGGCTGAGAGAGAGACTGAGCATTTTTCCTGAACTCAAATTGTAGCCTGGTGCTTCCCTAATAAATCCCGTAATCTGTGAGTTCTGTGTGGCCACTGCAGTGAATTATCTAACCCAGGAGAGAGGTGGTGGGTGCTTTGGGAGGAACGGTTGGTGAAAGTGCTGGAGGGAGGCAGCATGTCTGGCCTTGTAGGAATAGGCCTTGGGTTACTGATGGTGATCCTGTCTTCCTCTTGTAGGGTTAGAGGAGGTCAGGAGATGTGGCCTCCTTGCCTTTTTTGCCATTATTAATAAGATATCCCCAGGAACAAATTTCCCCAAAACACCTTAGTGTATGTTGATAGCATACCATTTTATAAGCATAGGCAGCAAAGTGTAGAGTGCAAGGATATTCTCATTGGGATGAACATAACTCATCTCAAATTGTGATTATTCCACTTACTAAATGTATGATCTTGTGTAATTCACTTAACCTCTCTGAATCCAAACTGCTGATTCAAAAATAAGAATTAATAAGTCTGGTGGTACAAATGGTTAAGCACTTGGCTACTAACCAAAAGGTTGGTGGTTCAAACACACCAGCCACTCTGCGGAAGATGTGGCAGTCTGCTTCCGTAAAAATTTACAGCCTTGGAAACCCTATGGGGCAGTTCTACTCTTTCTTATAGGGCTGTTGGGTTGAAACTGAGTAGGCGGTGACATCAACATCAGTGACTCAACAGCAATGGGTTTGGTTCAGGGTTTGGTATATATAATAGTGTTATTGTGAGATTTAAAAGAGAAAATGTATGTGAACTCCCCTTGTAAAACTCATGTTCCAAATGGGATTATTGTAAACTGTAAGTGCTTGTAAATTTATTCTTTTTAAGGAAGAAAGCATATTCTCATAAATGTGGCCACTGTAAGACCATTGGTAAGCAATGACCAGAATACTGGGGGTCATCAAGACATTAATTCTTTCCTGACTTCTGACCACGAAGATAACTTTTCAGTGATAAATTGAAAATATTAAAGCAGTTACATATTATTTCAAACACTGAAAAGTATAATCAAAGAAATCGGGGCCATTCTGACATTCTCTTAACACAAGAATCTCTTCTCTGGGGCCTCATTTTGTTGTGCTTCTGACTGTAAGAGCTTCCCTGTCTTTTGATACAGGGAAAATGCAGGATGATTTATTGTTCAATTGACTAAAATCCTGCCTGTGAAAAGGAAACAAAATTTGCTTTAGTTATGAGATATTGGTGGGATGATTCATTGACTCAAATACATATCAGGTCTTCAAGTGACAAAGATATGAATTACCCAATTTAGATTACAGAATACTGCCTCTCGTGCCCCGGCATTTAACAAGTTAGCTTCTGCTTTTCCAGAGAGTTGTTATTTTTAATTAGCCCTTAGTGGTCCATTTCCTCATCCTTAAGTGAAAAAACAACTATAAATCTTCAGTTGTTTACACGTAAATGCACTACTAGAACAAATTTAAATTTGTCACAACCCACATGCTCAGAAATATCAGATGTTTGTATGTATTTTTCCTAATAGGACTGCTGAGACAGGGTTAATCCACCAAGTAAAACAAAGAAAAACTGTGAATTGTGCTGGTAAATTAGACAGTGACTCATCTCAAAGCTCACCGTTTGACTAGTCCATAAACTAATGAGAGCTTTCAAATTAAAAATTATTTTTATGTAAGAAGATCATGTTCCAAATAGGATTATTGT